TCGCAATAAAATTATTTGTAGGTTTCGTGGTGCTTATCTGTAGCATCAGATTATTATGATCTGCCTATGAGCATCAATATCATTAAATTGCTAGATTACAAATTTAATTTGTAATATTACTGCTCTGTTAGAATTGCGTTTGAAGACTAAACACTAAATTCGACGCGCAGTTTCAGAATTAGATACATAGTGTATAAATTCACACCGAATTATTTAAGCACTAAAGTTTCAACTTGACAGTTTAGACTCTTCGTTTCCTACTTGTTATGTACTCAGATTAATGAAAAGACACTTTTGTTTAATATTATTTATACTCTCTTCTTTCTCTCGCTTCGCGAAAGAGATACGTGAGCGGAACGAGAAATGACAGTAGAGAATAGCGTGCGTTGCGCAATTCCATTATAATTTGCGGTAATTGTCGCACGTGAATTAGCGCAGTTACGAGCGGTGCACCGACGGACCAGAGCATCGTAGATGTCTCGGTAAGAAATGTCGGAACCCGCGGATCGATACTGCACGAGAGCGTACGAAACCTTTTGTCTCAACACTAATACGGGCGACACGTAATACGTTCTCATAAACGTCACATGCGGATTAATCACGTCTCTATCTGATGTTTACATTGCAAGTGATATACGTCGCGTAAGTACAGTCGCTCACTACTGGTCCTCCTCATGACTGGTCGCGTATATGGCAATTACGGAGACCCTGGGGCTTATCTTTCATTAAAAATCATCCCCTACAGAGAGTTTAATCTGAAATTATTAAATTGCCAAGTTGGGAATTAATTACTTCAAGTTGATAAGAAAGACCCAGCTACTTTGGCGCAAGAGGAGAATATCGCGGGCGGGATTAAAAAGATCCCCACCTTAGGTACTCGGGTTTATATATCGTTATACAACCACAGGGTGCACTTAAGCCCGTATATCGCGTTATTATTCCGCTGCTCGTTCTCGGCGCAGTGATAAAATTCTAATAGCGCGGTTATATATACGTAGCCCCGATTCTGTACGTATTTCCTCTCGCTGGCAGAGATCGTCCTACACACGCGGTCTCCCCCATTTATTTCTCGCCGGTCGGAGCATGGAGCTTCCCACCTTATCGCAAAAATCAGTAATTAAGTTACGTTTCCCCCGGTACCCTCGAAGAACGAACGCGCGATGGAAACGATTTCGAAACGGCAGCGGCCAACCCCTTTTTAGCTCGCGGCATAGCCGTTCTTCGTGGCGAGAGCGCGCGGCATCTCTTATTAAATCTCGGCGCGAAATTATTATTAAGCGTGCATTATCCGTAGGATCCTTCCAGGCCGCACGTTGCACAGATTTACTCGCGACTACAAACGTATAGTTCTAGGCTATACGTTTGCTTCGCGCGAATTCGCTCTCCGCGAGTCTCACCCCGCGCGAGATTTATTAATTTCCGGATTATCCCGCCCTGCGATTTCCGTCGTACAAATGCGATTTCAATTAATCAATAACGAATACAATTTCCTCCGAGGCCGAGGTAAATGCGATCGGTATTGAATTATAAATTCAGAGACGCAAGCAGCAGGACGAACGTTTTCGCCCAGGCGTAGCTTTTACCGCCCCGCTCGCCGCGCCGTTCAATTATAGCCGCGCAGCGAATAGCTATGCAAAAAGGCCCGTTTTACTCTCGTTATCTTTGGTCCTGCATTTACAAAGAAAAAGAGCGGTCAAAGCGAAATTTATAGTACGAAGCGTTTTAACGACGTTTTTACGCCGCTCCGCTTTGGAGAGATAAATTGCGGAGCCGGCGCTCGCGACTCGTGCCCGTTTTTATCGATATTCCGATATTCCATGGAATATTGTATTACGATTCCGAAACGTAACAACGAAAATATGATATAAACTGTCATTATTGTTATGTGAAATTATTATTCGTACAAGAGGGAATCTCACGTTTCACATTTCGTTGGGCGCGCGATAATCATTTTTACACGTTTTCACGAGAGAGTACTTTCTGTATGTACGAAAGATAGGTTTTTCACGGCGATACGAATGGGACGGAAGTTAGTGTTACATACCGCACAGTTCGCGAACTATCTGCAAACTCTATTCCGACGTGATCGTCCTCACGTGGAATTCCCTAGCGTATCTCGAGATATTGATTTTGCGACACGATTTGCCGGAGGATACCCACAGCGCTGCACACTCCGGGAAATAAATCTGCGAATGGAATCTAGGTGGAGGAAACGTGAGAAATCGCATTTGCTAGATTCTATGAGACTTATCTGCCATCTTGTCGATTATTGAAAATCGGCTAACTCATTCGTCACGCTGGCGATGCCATGCTCGAACGAGAGGGAGATAGCGCGAGGAGAGAAGCGACAGAAAAGGAAGGGAGGACACACAAAGTGAAATGGACTAATCGGAGATTCAATGACGGGGGATAAAAAAAACCGCAAACTCTGTGTGGAATCGGCAACTCGCATGAATAACCATCAAGAGACTCGTATTGAGTGGGAAACATTCCCATCGTTCACCATCGCCTTATGCTTCCTTATTGATTTTCGCTGATGTACTCTGCTATTAGCTCGCACCGTCGCTTGATGCTAACTAAAACGATTATACGCTCGTCAGAGGATATTTCAAACAATTTCGCACTTTATAAAGATGTCAACAATACTCGAAAAAATTTCTAGTTTGTGCAAAATATAATTTTTTTCTTAAATAAGAAAAAGAATCTTAAACTTGCGTCTCTCGATCGTATTGAAAAAAATGTTCTGATTAAATAAAAAAAAAAAACACCCAACAAGAATGTCATTTTGTATCAGAATATTTTTATTCAATACAATTGAGGCGCAAGTTTTAAGATCTTTTTATTTTTTATCTCACCAAAATAATGCCATTCCTCTTGGATGCTTTTGTTGGTTTAAACATCAAAACATTCTTTCAGTGCATGTGATTAAAGCACGTAAGTTTTAAGATGTTTTTCTTACTTGAGAAAAGTTAAACTTTCCACAAAAATTTTCAAATAAAATTTCTGTTTACGATGTAACCAGAAACCCTGTTTGGTCTCAACAAAATACATTCTTGTTGAACTCTTGTTGATTTAACATTTTTCTCGGTGTATCAATAAGAATATTTTCTTTGTCAAGCATCAGTTTTTTTTATAGACACGTACGTCTTAAATTTCACGGAACAACATTTCGTGCGAGCGTTAGTTGAATAGGCGTGCAAAATTTTGTTAGGCAGAACCAGTTCATCGTAAATCACGAAAGGCGTGAACGGAACGACTTTCGGTATAACTCCATGCGATTGTGCAATATCGAAGTGTCGCTGGATATCGAATGTTGTCTTAAATACACACGTCGCGAGCTGCGAGCAATGACAGCCTCGAAGTCTAAACTACCGAAGGAATCAGATCCCGCTGTCAGGTGCGCATAAATAAACAATGAGAAGGACACGCCTTCGGGAGATCCGCCTAAGAGATCCATTCTTAATGGAGAGAATGCTTGACAATGATTTAGATAGAGTCATTTTACGGCGGCCTGATCTAACGATTACTTGACGCCTGGCTTTACATTTTCTGCCTCAAGGTTACTCGAGCGTATTACAGCAGCCGTCGCGTACACAAGTGTAATATATTCATAGCCTGTAATCAGACTATAATTAAGCTGTACCATGGAATTATATAATTAAATTTAATGAGTGAAATAATTTATCAGCGTTCGTGCATATTGATTAATCTGCAAAAAGATTGTAAAAGATGTAAGAGAAAGACTTAACGCAGAGCATCTCGCTTGGCTTTAATGAAAACGGGGCAATTTTAGGGTGAGCTTTTTAAAAGAAGTGAAAGCTTCGGGAGTTCTCTAAAGGAAATTTGCCGGTATTAAGGTCGACGTCCATATTGATGAAGGTCCTCGAACAATAACGACCGTTGATCGTTAAATCCGTACGAGCGTAATAAAGCGACCGTCTGATACGCATAAACCCGGATTATCGCGTGTTTACTCCCACGTCTCTCTCGCGATCGTTCGTTGATCGCTAAATCCCAACACACGGGTCATCGCGTTGCGATCATCGCCAAACGATCAATGCATAAAATGTAGGTAATAATTTCAGCCACTGAAATACAATGTATCTAAATGGCTCGCACTTCCATGTATTTAATGGGCTCTAAGCCATAGATATCTTTTCGTTATTCGATTCAATGAGCTTGACACGATAACCGAGATGACAGCTCTAACAGAAGCAACGTCTCTTGAGCCACTCGGCTATTGCCTAAATGACTTGTGTTTGAGTCGGTAAGATAATACAAATGATTGACGGTCCACTCCCGTCCCCAAAGGGCAGCTAACGTGATCAGCAGACTGGAAGAGAAAGGGCAGGAAAGCGTGCTATCAGCAAAAAGAAAGTTTCGTGATGAAAATATTAGTCGTATACTTCCTCATCGAAGTGGAGATTTAGAAAGATTCTTGGAATAACTCTCTATCTCCAAAGAGAAAGAGAATTATTCCAAGAGTCTTTCGATTGTAGCAGTTTTAAAAAGAATTTAAAATAAAATATGCGTATAAACATAATACGACTGGAAAATAACTAGGCGAATCAAAATAAAAAATTTAAGTAAATAGGCTCGTATGATTGCAACCCAATTTAACAGTATCGTGGCTTATTTCGAGCTTTTTAAACAATCTATTGACTGAAGAACTTTTTTCTTTTCATCTTAATATTTCGAAATAACATGCTATATTGACTTATCAGAACTAGACACATCTGTTACAATAAGTATTATTTGAATAATTGTTCGTTAAGGAGATTATGATATTATTCTTATCACTGAAGGAGGCTTTGTAAGTCAAAACGTTTGTATATTGAATTTATTGTATTCTTATCTATTTAAATATATCATTTTTAAGTCACCTGTTTAAAAAGTTTGAAATAAGCCATGATAATGTTAAATTATAAAATAAAAAAAAACCAATTCGATGGCTGCCTTAATTATCTGTGGTATTGATCGTCATTTGCATTTTGTTGCAGGTAACAACGATACCCGACGAGGGCGAGGACAATTTTAAAATGCCCAGGGCTTCCGTGGTACACATGACGTCGACGGCAACGAGGCCGCATCACATGTCACAAGTATATATCATTAATAAATACTGTCATTAGTTCGTTAAGTTTAATAATAAATGATTAGTTAATAATCAGCTAATAATAGAGGATCATCTTTACATCGATTAAATGAGATGGCTATTGTATAGCATGTACTAATATTTTAGAAATTTGTTAATGAGAAGACATACAAAAATAGAAAACACAGAAAGAACGGTTTTACTGAAGTATCTAAAAAAAATTAGACATCTGAAAATAATTTTGTTAAACCCTCAAAATAATTATTTGGGGCACTTAAGCATAATGATAATTCTGCAAAAAATTTTGACATTCTACCATCATTAATTTGAGTATTCTATTATTTTATTGGTCCAACAAAATTATTTTCAGCTTTGTATCTAACTGAATTTTTAGATGTTTTAGCAAAATCATTCTTTTCGTATAAAGCAGCGTCTACAATAAGATTTTAAGGGGTAAAACTTAAGTTTTAAGCCTCAGGCTATCTTAATTGACCAATCATAGTCGAATGTGAGGAGAATAATCTATTTGGTTAATTTCTTACAACTTGAGGCTTAAAGCTTAAAATTTCATTTTAGACGCCGCTTAAAAATGGTAACTAAAGAACGGTTCGTCGAAAGTGCGACTTTAGTGTGTCTTTCTCACGATACCTAACTATGTTGAATTTAAAACGATCATGAGTATATTATTCGACGAACGCGTAATATCCTTCAACAATTTATGTTTCTCCGCCATCGGCAGAACGCGGTTCTTAAATAATCAAGCGAGATAGTGAGGCGAATCTTTTTATCTGTGGTTGGCAAGGGGCCATATTGATATGCAAACACCGAAGACAGCACCGAGCGTAATTGAGTGGTCCGGTTTAAAATGGATATCGTGCACACGGAGGCCTTTCGGGAGGGCAGGAGAAGACCGCCATCGTACACCCACATACACCGAGTTGCACACTTAACACAGCACCCGACCGACCATCCTCATAATCGTATAAGCGGGAGACGACTTTTAAAGCTCGTTTTTCCTCTCCCTTTCTCTCTAGCCTTTACCCCTCGACTAATAGTTTTAAGCTAATGGCTCCCTCGGCTAACTTCGATCCGACACTCTGACGCACATTCCCGCGCTTATGGAACTGCTCCGAGTATTTCACACGGCTCGATGCAAACGAGCTTTTAACGTCGTGTCCGAGAGTGAGAAAGGAGTAGCAGAAAGAGTAAGAGAAGCGTAAAAGAAGGGTGAAAGAACGCCCAAAAATAATATCGCCAGAAGCATTGCCGAGCGCGAATTTCTTACGTTCGAAAGGAAAATACGCTCTCGCGTGAGAATATGTGGTTTTTTAAGCTCGTTAAAATCCCTCGTGTATGTCGTTGAAAACTGTTCGCCATTACTGCGATATCGCGAATATGCGGCGAATCGCGCAGATAAACGCGCCTCGTATATTCTTAACGCATCTCGTAAACTGTAATTAATATACCAAATTCTCCACCGCCGCTCTAAGAAACGGGAAACATATCGACGCTCGTTACCCAACGTTTTCCTGAATGCGCTATTCATCGCGTGGCTCGATAATTAGTCGAAGAAAGCGACTCAGCGCGCTCGTAAACTCGTGTTCATTACCGCTGTTGCTGCTCGCGCATATCGTATTATACGAATAATTAGGATTGATGGCGTCCAACTATTTTCCGCAGTTCACTCGGGCCTGCGAGGATATTCTCTAAAAAAAAAAAGCGATAGTTGCATAACATAAAAATTATTATAGAGATTAACCCTGTTGGCCAGCTCAAATTTATGTACTGAGAAAAATTTATCTGGTTGAAAATGGATAAACCAGAAAATTCTAATTATATCAATGAAAATTTTATTATCATTAAATTTCTAGTAGATTTAACCAGAAAATTCCGAAATTCGTTCAGATTCAATCAGAATTTTGATTAGTCCAACCAGACATTTTTCTCACAATCTGTACTCCGTGCGATCGTACCATTTGTGTCAATATGATTAAAAAGTTCTAAAAAATAACAAATTTTTACGGAAAAAAGATCATAAATTAATAGAAGTCATTAAATATCAAAGAAAAATTTTTTTAGTAAAATATTAGTAAAAAATTACATTCTGGATCAAATAGGAGAGACCAACAGGATTGTAAAAACATACTGGTAATAACTAATGAATCCAAAAGCTGCGTACAATGCAATTCATTTTTAACTGCGAGGTGAATAGTTTGATGAATTCTCGCGACACATCGGCCGAACTTGTAGCTCGATGAACTATCGTAATTACAAATCTCGAATGGAAAGTGGGAATATAGTCGTAAATTTGTCCCTCTTCGAAGTCAAGACTTTATATTCGTATTCCAATTAATCGATAAGGCATACAAAATTATGTCTCTCTCTCGGATCGCATTATAATTTTCGCCTCAGTCGTTGGGCGTAGATGAAGGAAAGAAAAAGTCTAATTGCAAAGTGGCGCTTGGCATCCCACGCATTATTGTCGGCTAGAGCGACGACGGTATCATGAGCCTCTCTGGCGAGACGATAGAAAGGTTACACATGGCGACACGTCTAATCGCGTACTACGACCGTTTATGCTCGCTGCTCCTAATGGCGAGAGAGATAATTGAAAGTGCATGCAAATTTATGCGGGATCGGCGGCGCCGCTTGAAATTCCTTATCGAATATACGCTCGTCGTCCAGCACGTCACGAATATGAATTACGACAAGTCATCGCACATTAAAATTCTTGAGTTCTCAGAACACTACTATTGCAGCTTCTTAAACAACGTGTTTAATGAACAATTAATTTGCCACACAACAATCTTGGCCGCTTAAGTTTCAGAACAGTAAAAACACACGCTGACACTCGCTAAGACTTATGGCGGAAAAACGAATTTTGCTTTTCGAAGAAAAAAAACAATGAAACGTAAGCTCACATTCAAGAAACATGAAACACAGTAATCGAAGTGGATCTATGCTCGATTATCATGATTTCCGAATTTATTCAACGCCATTTAAGTACGACTAATATTTATATCCTAACAAAAACTTAAAACTAAACTATCGGTACTTTTGTTGTTCGTATTACACTATAAATTATCGTCGATATCGATATGACTCGTAAGTTAAACTTTTACTTTTCGCAATATTGATGTTATAAATTATAAACGCCACATGAAGAGAATTTTTTCTTAGAATTTACTGTGAAAATATGACAGTCGTGGGACAACATTGTATTTCGAAGAATTTTAATATAAATCTCTCTCATTCATTAATAAAACTACAATAAAGTATAAAATAAATTTGATCAAACCATTTTACTGAAGTGCATGGTAAAAATCTTTAAAATATTGTATTGTACCACAATTACCATATTTTCAGGGTAAATTTTAAAAGAAAATTCTCTCCGTGCAACAGTGCGATGAGCAAAAGTTTAATACAAAATATCGACGAAAATTTATAATGATTATTGTGGATAACATGGATTTATGAATCAATGTGAGCGCATTGTATTTTGTGGTGCAAATAAATGATAAACAAATAGATTAGCTAATAACACGAATTAAGAAACTAAAGTCGTCCAAGTTATGAGAAGAAAATTCTCTCGAGCAAAAATGTGTAAGTATGCAAAATCGAGAACACCATATTACAGAATATATTTAATATTAAAAAATCGAGAACGACGAATATCTTCTGATTTGCCGCGGTGTATTCTCATACTAGCATAACAAATAGAAATTACATAATATTTTAGTTTTATACTTGCATGAATTTAATACCGTCATTTTCTCATAATAATTTTCTGCAGTGGTTTGACCTATTTACCTCTAACGAAAAGATGGGAATCGGAATACCAATAAGACAAATAATGTCGCATTCAGATTAGAAGATTCGTGCACCGCAAAAAGGGCACGTATCGCATAAAGATACATCTACTGAACACAAAGAAATAGGCACATAGGGACATAGACTTCGCGCAGATATCTTACGTCATCATTCGCCGTAAGATCGTGGATGCTGAGCGTGCATGCGGTGACAAAGATAACACACACACATTGGAAGGTCTTACTTTGAGATTCAAGTTTTAATGAGTCAGTGAAAAGAATCACGAATTTATATCAGTAGAAAAAAAAAAAACATCGCCATTAGATATTTTCATCACCATAAAATCGTTATAAAATATTGATCTCATATTTTCTCTTGCATATTTTCTTCGCGCGAGTTCATCCGTCGCAAAATTATATATCGTTGTTTGGAAAAGCGATACGCGCCCATAGTTTCATACAGAGAGGAACTTACATGCGTCGCGCGAAGGATGCGTATTATAGGCGTCGACATATACGGATCGCGGTACTTTGAAATTGAATCTGTATATGTTGCAGATGTATACATATGCATGTACATAAATGCGGGGCCACGCGAAATGTTTAGTATTCCTCGTGAGGGGCCAAGCCCAGCTTTCAATTTGCGGCTAGCAATTTGTTCGCCAGTTGCACCCCCATGCAGCACAAATGCGCGATGCATTCGCTCTGGATGTATGTATGCATTAGCGAAGCATCATAGTGCGCAATGGACGGATTTATACCTAGCGTTACGGTTTCAACGCTGTTCAGAGTGCTTCTCGATTAGGAGACGTTACAAGATGGAGATTCGATAAAAGAGGAGAACTCCATGTTTCTATGGACCGATGGATTTTCGATAACGTGGATATAGTAAATTGAGCGCTTTTAAACTGAAAACGTGCGCGCAATGCAGAAATATTCCATGAGGTGAACGTAGAATGCATTGTGGAAGTAACGACTCCTTTCAACGTCGCCGGACTCTATGATATAGAGCGGTACGCGCCCACAAAGAACGCGGTAAAAGGAATACACAGGCGTAAATTTCAGTCACTTGCCGACGTAAAATAAACGAAGTTGACGTTCGCACCGCTGTATTATACCGCGTTCCTGCATAAATTCTTTCGCGTCGACATAAAAAGACCATTTCACGCGTGAGTTCATTAGAGCCTGTTTATCTTGATAGGTACTGGCGACCCTGGCACTATCTATGGGAACTCTCTCCTCCGGTTTGGCCAAGGGTTACACCTCGCCCGCGTTAGACTCCATATTGGATAATCAACCGCCCCATCTTTATCAATCATCCAACAATGACACGTGGTAAGAATTTGAATTTCAATAACTAGATTATATACGTCTGTTTTCTATAAATAATGATAAGACTCTTAATATAAAAACAACAATAATAAATCAAGATATTAAAGGTACTTATATGAGAGTCAACGCGCTGAAGTTGGTGCGCTTCTGTTTTCTATAGTTAAACTAGTGTATACTTTTGGAATTTAAAGTGGAGTTGGTATAAGTTTGATTATTTAATAAAAGACAAAAAGAGTTCAAGTACAGTCTAGTGCAGGAATAAAAAACAGATCTTATATTAGGTGATTCCATGATAATTAAGTTTAAATGGTGTGATTGAAACCAAAAGTGTCATCTTTTGGTCCATTTTTTACATTTATATTGTTACTCATCTGGATTCAAATATATATCTCATAGCTGTTAATATAAACATATTTTTATTTGATTCGCAATAAAAATAAAAAAGAGTATATTTTATGTTGCATATATTTCATTATTTTCATCATCGTAATAACGTCACCAAAACCGATAAAATTACTTGCGAAATTTATGATAGAGAACACCGTAAATTTCACAAATAATTTGATCGGTTTTTGCGGTGTTAATATCACAAATGAAAGTAATGAAATATGCAGCATCATATATGCTCTTTTTTATCTTCTCTCATTCAATCAAATTAAAAAGATGTTTATGTTAACAGTTATGAGTTATTGTATATGTGTTTGAATGCAGGTTGGATAATGAAAAATGAGTCGAAAGATTATACGTTTGTGATTTAGCGCCATTTAAACTTGATCTTAGGAACTCTTATGAAGTCATTTAATTGATCTAATGCATGTAAGAAAAAAAGAGACATTTACTGTTCCGTGCTACACGAACAAAAGTTTCGTCTTGTTAAATAATATCGGATTTCAATTCGAAACGTCGACAGTCGTGGACAATTATATCCACGCGGTGGCTTATTCGAGCGTCACGTTCCTGGTTGCTAATTCCGGGATGCGTTTACTGCGACGACAACATGCGAACTCTACTGGGAAGTAGAGCTGTTCACAAATAATACTCGACAACTGAGACGCGGCTGCCAAGAGAGATTACGTTTGCACCTGACGTCTGCCTTGGCATTCTGGGAACAATACCCAATACATCGAGAGTGTCTCCTGGACACGCCTGAATTACGCCAAGAGTTCAGACAATATAATGCCGCGCGATTCTAATCGCATTTACGCTTTCTTGTGTAGGTTGGCTTTTTCGGTTACGCAACAGGAAGCTTCGTGGGTTGCATCGCTGTCCATGCTGGGCGCATGGTTTGGTGCCATGATCGGTGACTGGATAATGCGGAGAGGTCGTCGTTTGGCCTTACGCATGACATCCTTGCCTCTGGCAGGAGCCTGGGTCTTAACGGGCGTCGCACCGTGCGTGGAGTTGGTGTACGTCACAAGTTTCATCGGCGGGCTTTGCTGCTCAGTCATCACCATGGTAGCGCAGGTAAAAAAAGAGATTCGATTCGATTAGTTTTAAAATTAAATCTTAGTCGACGCATAAGCAAATTCTTTTGGCAGGTGTACATATCGGAAATCTCGATGCCTGGCATCCGCGGATGTTTGTCAGCGATGTTGAAGGTGCTCGGTCACGTTGGTGTCTTACTGTCGTACATAGCCGGCACATATCTGAATTGGCGGCAAAGCGCATTACTAGTGGCCGTCGCGCCGTCAATGCTCTTTTTGGGGACCCTCTTTATACCAGAGACACCATCATATCTCGTACTAAACGGCAAAGATGACGAGGCTGCCAACAGTTTGCAGTGGCTGCGCGGAGAACACGTTGATATTAGACATGAGTTGCAGGTAATTTTTAAAGTTTATGAAAAATGGATAACTTTTACATCATTGTTTAATTCATAATATCAAATTACATGACTTAAATTAGTTTTAATCATTTCTACAGGTCACCACTGCTTTTACTCGATATGTCGTTAATTTAACTAAAACAATGGGGGGGGGGGGGGGGGGGGG